TTAACACTTGGAATTGAATAAAATATGTAGGAGTTTGTCCAGAAGGTAACTGATTCTCTTACTATAAATATTAACATATCTTTAAGTATAGTAACTAATGAGTTTCACTGAAACATTTACATGCATGCCTATATCATGTAGAGACCGTATGTTTACCGTTGCTTGTTTCCAAGTACTTCTTCAGCAGATATTTATTTTTCTTCCGTGGAGGTTCCACCTGGCCTGGCTTCTCAAAAACGTAGTGTTTGATTTTGCTCATGTTCTAGATAGTGTAATAATTTTTATTTTAATGTTTCAACACGTGGGTCCCGTAAGACACAACAGCCATCAATGTTCACACATTACACACCTGGGGATTTTCTTTTTCCTGCTTGCTCCAGACAGAACATAAGGCCTGGCGTTACTTTTTTTCTAACTCCCTTTTAGTGGACAAGCCAGTCTACTAAAGGCTTCACCCTGAGATGTCAGTTGCAACTTATCTTCCTTCGGTGGCCTCGAGGCTATGCTGCTGGTACCTGCATGACTACTGACTCATATCTCTAAGCATCTAACCCCAGGGTGTGATACCAGGAACTAAAACCATATTGGATAGTTGCAGTGTTACTGGCTTCTTTTTGTTTTTTAGACATTTTACATAAATTTAAATTTTCGTTATAGTTCATCTCATGTTAATATGAGTTTGTACTGGGAGAGGCGCTATTCATATCATCTTAGTATTGCCAGAAGCCCTATTTTACACATATAATTTTGCACCTTTATAATTACACTTTTTTTCTTAGCAATTTTATCCACATAAAACCCACTTCTTTAAGGGAGAAAAAAGCACCCCCCCTCCCTGAGGAGACTCTAGATGACAAATGTATAAGAGGCCTGGTATTTATAGGATATTGGATTATTCTAGAAATACTAGCTATGTAGTTCAAGTATGTCATTGCCCTGGGGTCTAAAAATTTTTTAGCACAGTGATCGGCAACCTTTAAACGTCTTAATAGCAGAGCCCCCTTTAAAAAAATATTTTTAGGAGGCCCCAAAATATAAAACTAAAGTAGCTGCTGTGGTTGAAAAGGGCTTGAGCTTTCTAGTTCTCAACAACTGGGCCCCCTCCCCCAACTTTTGCTTACTAAGCTGCTCCCCAATGCAGCTTGTAGAACCCTTAAGTTTAAGTACCCTTGGGTAAAAACAAACAGGAAATACCAGTAGTTCCCAAACTGTGGTCCCAGAGTCAAATGGCCATCACCTGAGAATGTGACAGAAATGCACATTCTCAAGACCCCATTTCCTATCTACTGAACCTCAAACTCTCTTGAGTATGTGTCAGCAATCAGCTTAATACATCTTTCTTGTGACTCTGATCCTTGTTAGTTGGGGAACTTACTAGAGTGTAGTATCCTCTTCAGTTATCAGGGAAAACTTTGTAATGCTATCCAAGACTGGCATTTCTGGCTTTTTACCAAAGCTTCTGCTCAAAGCTATGTTCTATGCACTGATTTTATTTTGTACCTGAATGAGATTATAGATACCTCTGAGGCTTCACAATGGCCTGGGTTTCTTAGAATTGCTAAAATACATCAGAAAATCACTGGAAAGAGTTTGGATTCCTATTTTCAGTTCAATGGATGAAAATGATGAACTTCCTCTCAACATTTTTTTCATGACAAAATAACCTGAAATTCTAGGCTCATTAAATTTTCCTTAGCACATAAAAAGAGTGTACCTTGACAAAGATAAGCAACACTGACCCACTCTGACCTAAGTTAGGGTCGGTGCCTCTGAGTCATCAATGTGCTCTGTTTCTCAATCTGGATGCTGTTTACAAGGATGTGTTCATTTTGTAGAAATTCATCAACTTCTAAATAATATGTGTATGTTGTCCATTTATTGCACTTCAGTACAAAAATTACTCAATACACAGGCAATTCACAAGGGATGTTAACTGTGAAATGACAAACTACTGTGAGTCCTGAGCTACATAGTGTCAGATGTGAAATGTGCACTGGATGAAACAATTCCCAACACTGGTTCTACCACAGTGATGACCTGCAGTATATGGATGCCACTGTTTTCTGATTGGAAAGAGCTTTGGGTTGATAGTTCTCAGAGAGTATAGTAAGGCCCTTACTAATGTAACCCACAGAAAGAACAGCATCATTTCTAGGATCTGGCTATTCTAGCAAACTGGCAGTGACAGAACTCTGGAACTCCAACCAGATGTGGGCCAAGAAACTAGAAAGAATGTGTAATGGGTGCTAATGAAGGACTACATGCTGTGGTCCTTCATTCTCAGCTCTACGTATTACTATGGCCTCAGTCACAAGCAGCCATCTTTTACCTGTGCTCTTTTAGTCTTAGATCACGTACATACAAACCAACTTTCTGCAACTTGTGAATATGTGTAGAGTTAAAGAAGGCGCTTTACTGTATTCAGCTCCCATGTGCTCACGTAGCAACAACAGCTCAAATAAAAACAACCCATTTGTGTCTCATAGTTCAATGGGTCACAAGCTAGTTTTTTTTTTTTTTTTCACTATCTCTCAAAACATTCTTCACTCAGGGCCTCACTTTGTGTACTCTGTCCTGTAATACAGGTGCTTAAGATGTGGTTACCCAGCTGGGCGCAGTGGCCCATGCCTATAATCCCAGGGCTCAGGAAGGCAGAGTCAGAAGGATCTCTGTGAGTTAGAGGCCAACCTGGTCTACAAAGTGAATCCAGAACAACCAAAGCTGCAAAGAGAAACCTTGTATTGAAACACCAAAATAAATAAATAAATAGATGAATGAATAAATAAATAAACAAATAAATAAAGATATGGTTAGCCTTTCCTTCCCCACCCACACTACCTCTGTGCTCAACATGAGAACTTTGGTGACTACGTATGATCGGTACCTCTTGATCTCCTTTGCATCCCCAACTGCAAAGATATCTGGTCATGTGCCAGACATGCTCATACCTAAATCTGTTTGAATTCCAGGTTAATACATACTGGCTGAATAGATGATGTTCTAGGTTCATGGTGGCATGATTTAAAAGCATGCCCTGGACCACCATTATATCCCATGACTCAGTTTTGGGGTTAGTAATAAACAGGGACATAATACTAGGTTTTGCAGTGAGACAGTTGCTGAAGGCCAAGGTGTTTGTTGTTTTTTGTTTTTTTGTTTTTTTCAGAAACAGTTGTGAGGTTCAGTCAGGAAGTACCAGGCATACATGTTCTAATGGTCTGCACCTTCCTGACCAACAGGAACAAGGAGGTCTGCTTCACTGTTCATCTATCAGTGAGTTCCTCTGACTCTTCCTGAGTGCAGGACATTTACACAAAAGCTTCTGTATCACGAAAACTCAAAATGAAAAATTTTCTATTAAAGAATGTGAATGTCATAAGACAAAGCAGGGCTGTGGAGATGTTCCTGATGGAGACTAAAGATACATGACAAATGCACCTTATCCTTATGCTAGACCAGATCCTATAATGGGAGAAATACTATAAAGGACACTTGCAGAAGGGAGAAACTTGGCTTAGAAATTATAAACATTGTAACAATGTTCATTTGTCTAAAGCTACACATAGTGATGTACTGAACATGTCTATTCTTAAGAAATGCCCACTGAAGTATTTCAGCACAGAGGGCCCTTATGTACGTACTTCATCCATACCGAGTTTGTATGTGTATATAAGTACAGACACCCTGACACAGAAGTGCACATAGGATGATAAAGGAAATGGGGCAAAATGTTAATAGGTAAATATGAATAAGGGATAAGAGAATGTTTCTATTATTTTTATACCTTTTCTGTGAGTTTAAATTTGTTTCCAAATAAAATATTTGGAAATGTTAAAGGACAGTTTCTGTGCAAGCAGTCAAAATCTGCTGCACACATCTGACTGAATTCTTCCCATGGCAGACGTGTAGAGACATAGCTGTGCCTTCCCAAACAGGGTTACCAATTTCACCCTCAAACTTGGCCAAAGAACTTAGTGGCACCTGGAGCTGCTCACTTATCTCCTCCATCATAAAAACCACCAAAAATAACAGCAAAACATTTTCTTCTGAGGATTGTGGTGCTGAAGACATTTGGGTAATGAAAAGAAGGGGTATGTTTCATCCATCCATCCATCCATCCACCCACCCATCCACCCACCCATCCATCCATCCATCCACTCAGTAAATGTTTTAAGTACCTACTCATTATGTGCCAGGAACTGTGCCAGGGGCTGAAGATGCAACCAAGGATCTAAAAGACAGCTCCTGTCTTTAAAAGGTCTCAGATGGACTAGGGCATATAGCTCAGTGGCAGAGGGCTTGCCTAGCATACACAAGGCCCTGGGTTCAATCTATAGTGGAATATACTCATAACCTATTTCTTAATGACTTGGCCACTAAGTAGACTTGGGAAGCCATTGGAAACCCTATCTTTTGGCACACACCTGGTCCACACTGAGCTCCCTCCCAGGATTGTCCAGGCAACAGCTACTTTTTGTAACCAGTGCTAAGGAAGGGATGTTTAGTGTTTTCCCCATCCCAAGGTCTTCCCATCTGTTTCAGCTTAGCTCTCTGCCATGTGCTCTTTCCAGTGTACCACCATCTCTAAGTTGATGGACCAGTGAGTTTTGGAAGTCTTTCTTCTGATCTCTGGTTGTTGATAAATATTGCAGTTATACTTACAATTCTTTCTGAAGGCAAAAACAAAAACAACAAAAAAGCCCACCAAACATCACTGTGTAGAAGCCTGAGTCATTAAAACAATGTCATTGTCTTTCAAATGGACAAAATGTGATAGTTTTGTTTTTCCTCTAACCATCAATCAGTGGGTACGACACTGAATATGATACCCTATACACAGTAGTCAACTGCCTTGTGAAGAATTCTTAGAATCGTTCATGTGTATAACTGCATGTGACATGCTTGTGTCACTTCTGCTCATAGGTCTTGGATGGGACTGATGTTGTACTCTGGTGCCTGATACATTCTGGCCCGGTCCAAATAAATTTCAGAATCAGATCCAACAAATGTTTACTGAGTCTCTACAAAGTTCCAAGCCTTTTACTTTTACTTTGACACATTTTATATCATGTAATCTTTAACAACCCTTCAAGGTAGGAATTACCTGCATGTTACAGATGAGAAAATAATCGCAAAGAGGTTCACTGATTTGCTCAAGTATATCATACAGCTTTTTTTTTTAAAACACACACACACACATACACACTACACTGTGAGCTGAGGCCTTTCCTTGCTAACTGCTTATCTTACAGCATTTCTAGCCTTCTCTACTTTTGGAGCACTTGCTCCCCTTCCACAAGCCCCTTATTTCTTATCTCTTCACTAGCCCATGTGGGTTTTCTTTTTTAATACTGCATTTAATAGCACAAAAGTCATGAATACAAAGAAACTGGCAAAGGTGTTTGTCAATGAGATATCCCTGCCTCCTCCACTTTTCTGCTTTCATCCCCATGTACATTTTAATCAACTTTTTCTTTTTCCTCCCACAAACGGTGTAACTGTTACGTGACTGGTCAATTGAAGCTGAAACACCCATGGAGATGTTTTACGGTTACAAGGGCACACACACACCCCAACACTACCCCCTCCCCCCTACACCTTCCCACACAACCTTTTGGAGGAATATAGGATATGAACCAGTGTCACAATTTCCCAGCTCTGCCTTCACCACACAGAACATTCCTGCCACTTCATTTCCTTCACATGACTGCTTAGACTAGAGCCTCTTTTCCCTCCCCTCCTATTTCTCTTCCGATCAGGACCTTTTGGACACTGGGTACTATTAAATTCTTACTCTGTAAGGCCCATTGGCCTCAGTCAAGTAGATCAATTAAATCTTGTTGCCCGCTGTAGTACAAGTGTCATCATCTTCCATTACAGGTAGGCCTGCGTGTTGCTTCAGTAGGCTTGTGTATTCACTTCTTTCACCTTTTCTGACTCATGTTCCAGGACCTGTTTGTGATAGAACAGTAAATACCCTTCACTGTCCAGCACATCCTTAATACTGGCCTTGGTGATGACGGCATCATCACACTTGAACCACTGGTCCCTGTGGTGCCGAATGAAGCTGGTGTAGTGGCCACTCTCCAAAGTTCCTTGGTGATTAACCACAGCAAACAAAGAATACTTATTCTCGTTGTTCCCGCTATTGGTTGGCAGCTGCAACTGTCCATTCATTCGGGTCTCCTTACTTGACGCCATAAATGGTGTCATATCCAGCTCCAGGGGAAAGGAAATATATGTAGTGATCTTTCGCCTCTGTTTGGCTGAGTGTTCAAACCGTTTGAAATGAAAGCAGGCAACAACTGGCAACTTCTTCATGGTGAGCTGTTTGGTAGATTCTTGGTAGCTTTGACAACCACCACATTTAATTTTGGCACTACTTCCTAAGTGCTCTGGCCTTGTAAACCTTCGCAAGCAGTCCGTGAGGGTAGTAATGCCTGGTATGTGGCTTTCCCCATTCACACTGCTCTCTCTCCCTGGACTCATGGGCCAGAAGGATGTGCAAGATCCAGGCAAGTCCAGACTAATGTCCCAGCATGGGTCTATAGTGGTAGAGACACCATGGCAAGTTTGACAGGTGACATCGGACTGCAGGCCACCTGTGAAGATTTGGTCTATGATGCAGTTACAGTGGTTGGGATTGCTGGCCACCTTGCCAACATCATCGCCTTTGCAGTGCCTGTGCAGGACATCTAGTGCAGCGATGAGGAACTCGTGGGCATCCTGTTGCCTGTACCCTGCTAAATGGCGTGCGTGTATCCACACCAGGTGCAGTAACTTATAGGGAACATGAGGAGATGGGTTCCCAGAATATAGCTCCCGAAAGAGCGAAGACATCTCACAGACCAGACATAACTCAGGGCTGGGCATTTCACACCGATGCCTGTCAGAGAGAAAGAAATCTCTCAGTATTGGAGTGTGTGTCAGGGCCTGGACAATGCAGTTCATAAAGCATGTGTTGCCAAGATTAATTAGTCCTCGTAAGCCAATGGTAAAGCTGGAGGCGATTCTTCTTCTCCGTGGGTTGTGCCCCAGCAGTTCTAACTCAGGTTTGGTCGTTCCCCAGGTGGGATATTTCTCACCAAGGCCGGGCACTGAACACTGCTGCTGAGAAACCTCCGTTGAGGTGGAGGCTTGTAATTTCAAGGCTTCACCTTGCTCTTCTTTGGCAATTTGCTCAATGTCTTTGTCATACACATAGTCTTTACACATGAAGCAGTATATACCTCCATAATAAAGATCAACCGCTAAGTTGTGCTGTTTTGTCTCAGCGTGCTCGTGGATGTGTTTCTCTGTGAAGCAGCCAAAGAAGACACAGGAGAGGCAAGAGTGGAGTCTGTTTAAATGAGTGCCGCACACATGGCAGATGCACGACTTTGCTTTGCTTTTCCTGGTCTCTGGGGTTCCACACCACACGAAGCACTGGTAGATAACCCGCAATTCCTGCCTCCAGTTCTCTCCCACCTTAAAGCTGTTCACGTGGGAACAACCTGGTGGCCCCACAGCAAAATCCACATCCAAGCATCCGCCCCCGGGACCGCGCCGGGGCCGGGGCCGGGGCCGGGGTGGGGGCCGTGGCCTAGGCTTCGGTGGGGTACGGAGCCTAGTCTGGGGCCGGGGCCGGGGTCGGCGGCGCGGGGCACGACTACGACGCGGAGAGGGATCAGGGGGCCGCGGCCGATCGGAGGGAAGGGTTGGGGGAGGGACCTCATCACCGCTGCCGCCACCGCCGCTCCGCGCTGGGTTCTCATCCTTCGGCTCCGGCTTGTGCTCCCCCTTAGGCTCTGGCTCTGCCTTCCGTAAGGGCTCGGGCTCCGGCTCCTGTTCCGGCTCACGCTCCTGTTCGGGCTCCGGTTCGGGCTCGGGCTCGGGTTCGGGCTCCGGCTCGGGCTCGGGCTCCGGCTCGGGCTGGGGCTCGGGCTCCGGCTCCGGCTTGGGCTCTGGCTCGGGCTCCGGCTCTGGCTCGGGCTCCCGCTCGGGCTCCGGCTCCGGCTCCAGCTTGAGCTCAGCCCCGCGGCCCGGTCTCTCCGAGGTCTCCACTTTCCTGGTGGCGTCCACCTTCCCTGCTGTCTCCACCTTCTCGGTGGCTTCCACCTTACCGGCCGCCTGCACCTTCCCTTCCACCTTCTCCGCCTCCACCTTCCTCTATGCCTTCGCTGCCGTCTCTGCAGTCTCCGCCTCCTCCAGCCTCCTCCGCCTCCTCTGGCTGCGGCTCCTCCCACTGCTCGCGGGGCTCCGGCCGCCACTGGGCGTGGTGGCACGGGGGCCACGCAGACCTGGGGTGTCCCCCGTCAGGCCTGAAGGAGCGCGGTGGCCGTGGCAGCTGGACCCAAAAGGGACTGAAGGAGGCGCCAGCGGAAGCAGGCGACGCCCCCGGGAATGCTCCCGCCGAAGCCCCCTAGCGGAGGCCGCTTCGGCAGCCAGGCCCCGTTTCCTTTAATTCAATATTTCCCAAACTTGCTGGTTCACGACAATCACGTGGGGAGCGTGTTAAAATTACAGATTCCTCGGCTCTACCCGCAGGCCTACTGAATCAGACTCAGGAAGGGAGACACTCCGGAACCTGGATCTCTAACTAGGGTCCGAGAGGCTGCTACTGCTCAGGCAAGTTTGGGAAACACAACTCTAATTCATTGAGCCTGGCGGGAAGTGGGGCGGGGACCGCGCAGTCTCTTTAAGGCGCTTCCAGCTCTCAGCTCCAATCGCTGCTCTAACCCCTTTGGCGGTCTCCTCCCCTCTATACTGCCCTCAAGGGTGCAGGCTTCCCTGAGCGTGTGTGGCCAGGGCCAAATGGTTGTCTTGTCCAGAAACGTTTCTGAGGCAATGAAATATCCCTACACAGGGTGGTCGTGGAGAAGAAAGGCGGGAGCTCCAACATCCATCATTCCAGAAGCTGAACCTGCCCCTAACAGGTCCCAGTCTCCCCTCGGGGTCCAGTTCCTGCTCTCCCAGAAAAGATGAAGTTCCAACTCCACTGGGGCCAGGTCTGGACCCCACTTCTAAAGGGACAATAGTGCTCCCAAAGCCGTTCCACCTGAAGAGGCATGTTCCCTTGACCGACCATCATATCAGTGGTCTAAACATCCTGGGTTGTTTTCCCCTCAGGCTCCAAAGGCCCTGGGTGGGATGACTCGCTTAGCAGCTTGTTGACAGAAACCATCACTCCAAGGCCAACTGGAGAAACCAGACACTACAAGGCTGTTACAGGTGGCACCTCCGTTAAGCTAGGGGGGGGAAAAAAAAAAACAAACTACAAAATTTGAGACCCTTAAGGTTTAGTCTGGAGTGAGCAGCAGGTAGGCTTTAGAAGGGCTATCAGTCAGCTGCTAGTGAGACACCAGTGAGAGGTTGGACACGAGTCTGGGGGCCTGCCATATGAATAATAGCATCATAGAGCCCAGGAAAAATGAGTCCAGTACAAACTGTTCAGGTCGTGGGCAGAGCTTGGTGTAGAGGGTCAGAAGTAGCTGCAACTGCGACTTCTGGAGGGTGCAGCCAAAGGCAAGTATCAGCATGTGGGGTCAAAGAGAGAGAGTGATTTAAGGAGAATGCAGTGCCTCGGTGACACAGCCAGCAGTATCTGATGCACATTGCCCCACTTTGGGGGCTGTGCTGCCAGCAAAGCACAGCAAAGTGTCTCTGGTCTGCACTGAAAACAAACCTCCACCTGAGTCAGACCTCATAGAGGAAGCAAGGACAGACTCCTTGGGGGATTAATCAGGACTCTGGAACCCTTAGGGAGGCTGTCTGGTTCCTGTCTAGCTTAAGGCTACCTTAGTGCCAGCCTTCCCAAAATCAGCTGTTTTCAATTCCTTGAAGCATTCTTCCAACAAATGCCTGCCCTTTGTTGCCTGTAGCTAGAGAAAATACAACCAGTATGACTACTAAAGGAATGCTGCTGCTACTGTTGCTGCTGCTGCTGCTGGTGATGGTGGTTAAAAAAAAAATGACCCAGCTCATGGAGCACAGGAGCAGAAAGCAAGGAGTAGCTTCATCCTGTCTTCACAGGCTAAACAACCGACAAAGAAACCTGGAGATCGCCATACTTAGGAGTGTTGCCACTGAATAGTAACTATGTCACCAGATTGCCTAACTAATCATTTTCCAGTAGAGCCCGCAGAGGTCCCGGGACACCACCCAGTCCAGACAAATTCTGAAAGTGTATGGCTCTGCCACCATTCACCCCACAGATGTTTATTCAATACCCATTCACAGCCAGGCATTGTAGTAAGAGGTAGGGACCCAGCATTGAGCCAAAGACCTCCCAGTATTAGAATCAGATTTGGCTTCCCTAAAAGTAACACACACATACACTAAGGAAGTGTCTTTAGGACAACTAGCAGGAAATAAGCACCAAATATTAAAATAAGTAAGTATAATCAAAATAGTTGAGTACTTTTCTTTAAAAAATGTTTCCCCCATTGGAAAATTTACAGCTTGGTTATTACTTTCTTACATTCACTTCCTCGTATTCTTTTGCTTTAATCACTGGTATAGTGAATAATCTTGATCATACCATATCACGTGGAAATATCTTTGCCATAATCTTTAGATGTATAGGGCTTGTATATTCTGGACTTAGTCCTGGGTAGATGTCACCCACTTCCCCTCACAAAGACCTGGGAAACACTGCCTTAAGAAAGACAGTTCAGCCGAGTGCAGTGGTGCATGCCTGTAATCCCAGCATTCTGGAAGGCAGAGGCAGGCTGATCTCTGTGAGACCAGCTTGGTCTACAAAGGGAGTCCAGGACAGCTAAGACTACCCAGAGAAACCCCATCTCAAAAAAAAAAAAAAAAAGAAAGAAAGAAAGAAAGAAAGAAAGAAAGAAAGAAAGAAAGAAAGAGAGAGAGAAAGAAAGAAAGACGGCTCGAGCCTAGCAGTTAAATACTGTTCTGTCCACAAGGTGGCAAAACAGTAAATGACAATCCCTAGTAACTTTTGTATGTTTATATAAAATTTGGTTTATATCAAAATACTCTCTAAAAATATTTTGAAAAATGTGGTCTCCACACAGTTTTTGGTTGACATCTAAAATTTTGTGTCGTAAAAGTGACTTGGATGCAAAAACCTAATTTTGGACAAGTGTTAACCTTCAGAAATAAAACTGTTATGTGAGTATGTTACACAAATCTGGTGAAACCTAAATACATTAGTGAGTTGAGAGCCACCAGCGTATGCTTTTAAAACTCGTAACAGAGCTCTTTGACAGTCGCAAGTTGTATCTTCCTGCTTTTCTCCAGGAGTTCTTAATTCTTCTCTATTCTTAAAAAAAAGAAGACCCAGAAACATGTTTTTTTTGTGTGCTTAGAACAATTAGATAGGGAGATGTTCCCATAGACAAATATTGCTTATTGCTACAGTGAGATAAGACTGAACATCACATTGTTTCTAATTTGTGTGTGGCTGAATGTGAACACAGAGAAACCTCTCATACTAAAAAGACACTTTCTTTAGAAACATCATGCAAGCCTTTGAATCTTTTCAGAAGTATCACACAATGATTTAGCTTCAAAACTCTTATGATTTCTCAGCTGAAAACTCTACTGGGATTTCCTTCCATTTTATTGGAAGCAAACAATTAGGAACCATCTGAAGTGCAAAAAGATTCAATTCCCATTCACTGTTAGAGCAATTTGTTTGTTCACCGTAGATGTGGTGTTCGGAATTGTCTCTCTGGCACCCTGAAGATTTTACACTGCAGGATAGTGCATGCAGGTGAGATTCAGGATGAAAAAAAAAAAAAGATGCTTTTCTTTTGTAAGTGCAAAAAGAAACATGTGAAAGTGGATATGGGAAAAGAGAAACAGCTTGATCCCTCTATCGCAACTATGGTCTCTGGCAGATCAATTTTAAAACACTGCATATAAAATTGGAGGATGTAGAAATTTATTTCCTTCACTCTCCCATACTATTAAGTAAGGTACACTCCATTTTGAAAGTGTCTCATGATGTTTCTTGTCATAAAAGTTAGACACACATATATATTTATGGGTTTAAAATGTATAGAAGAGGTAATGGTATGAAAAATGAAAGCCCTCTCTCCCTCATTGATCACACCCAATTCTGTTTCCCTCAACTTTGTGAGAAACTTTCTATGTAAATGTGAGCATTTTTATACACATATCCTTTTATGAAATGTAAATAAGACTTGCTATGCAGGTGTTTTCTCTAATTGCTGTACATAGTCAATAAAATCCCAATAAAATTACAATGAGTTTATTTTATTTATTATTTATTACAATTTATTCACATTGTATCTCAATACAATGAGTTTTTTATGAGAGATTTTACAAGACAATCTTCAAATAAATATGGAAGACTAAAAGACATCTTCCACTTTCCCCTTTCTTCCTCCTGGAAATGAGGAGTTAGTGACGATAGTGGAAACCATCTTATAACCAATCACTGTGAAAAGACCAAAAATCTGATTGCTTCCGGAGATAATCTTTCATAAAGAAAAAGATGGTAATTTATCAGCTCTAAGAGACACATCTCTTCGTGTTACTATGTTGCTGGAGTCTTAGAATAATACTTCATAAATATGTTCAGCAGCAGTTTTGTATTACTGGTATGTCTCGAAGTCCATAATATCCTAGACTCAGAGGCTGAAGAGATGGTTCAGCAGTTAAAACAGTGTACTCTCATCCTAAGGACCTGGAATCAATTCCCAGGACCCACATGGCAGCTCATGACTGTAACTCCAATTCCAAGGGATCAAATGCCATTTCTGGGCTCTGCAGGCAACAGCAACACACATGGTGCACAGATATACTTGCATGCAAAACATATAAAATAAAACAAAATTTAAAAATAATATTTTAGAATCGATGTCATCCTTTGAAGTCACTATTATTTAAGTCCACATGATGTATTAAGTGACCATTCCTAGTTTAGTCTCAAGTCCTTATTCTGACCTTTCAGGCCCTATGAAATATCTCACTGGTTACTTAGACTTCTCTACCCATCAGCCTGGCCTTGTATCAAACAGATGATGCATATTACTGCTTCCAGGCCTAAGCCCTGTAGTGGAAGTTTGGGCTTCCTTAAAAACTCAGTTATATAAGTATGTTTTTGTTTTAATCCCAACTGTGGCATATGGGACTGCCTTAGTTTATCCAGAGCTGACAACAGCTTCCTGAGGCTG